TTTTTTTTATTAAAATTTTTTAACTTATCATTATTCCATAAGGAACAGATATTCTTGTTACTGGTAAAAATATTTAATGGTTTGTCAAAAATACTAAAATTTTTAATTGCTTCGATTAAAGCATAAATCTGTGATTCTTGAATAGAATAATCTTCATTCACAACTTTGAAAAAACTTTTGTCTGGATATAAAGGACAATAAATTTCCATTCCAAGTATCTCATCCTTTTTTTTAATTTTTGTAAATATGTAAATATCTTCATTATTTATAGAATCATCTAAATAAAGAAATGAGGCATCATATTTTATGTGCTGGTTCCCATATGTAAGAGTTAATACTTATCATTAGCAATAATAAATATTGAATAATAAAATCACTCTTACTACATATCACGAGATTCTTTCGTGAAAAACATTTTTTTCCTTCCTTCAGTTTAACATTGGTGGTACTGGTAAGGATTTCTGTTAAAGCAACACCATTCTCATTTACCACAATCTCATTTGATAGATACCACTTGTGTTTTTTGATCAAATTTAAATCATCTTCGTCAACGGTAATATAATTATTCATCGGTTTATCATGTTTATCAAATAATGCAATTTGATATAGATAGGTGATACAACCAAAATGATTACTTATTATAGGTCTTCCAGGATTCGTGTTAGAATCGTTATACCAGACTCCATTTATCTTATCCTTATATTTCTAAATAAAATTAAACTTTGTTATAAATATCTTTTGAATTATTAATTGATAACAAATAGTTAAATATATTTGTTAAACTAAACCAACAAATTCAAAAATTGGGAAAAACATCAATACAAAGCATGGGAGCAATAGCAACCAAATGCTGCATATACGATGGCGTTTCCCAATTTTTTAACGCAGCCCACTGCTAAAGAAATAGGCGGATCATAAGGTGTTTGGTTTCCCATTTTAAACAACGTATTAAACATCGTTTAAATCTAAAACAACAAAAAACACTTATAAATTTCTAATTTGATAAATTTTACTAATAATATACAAGTATTGAATTAATAAAAATATATAATTATTACAATATAAATAAGGCAATTTTAAATTTTTTTCCAACATAATATTTCCCAATAAGATTATGGATTTGGAACCTGGTAGATATTACTACAAAGATTTATATGAGGAGATAAAAGATTATAGTACTACTCAGGCACTTTTTATAAAATTACATGAGGCGTTTATCCCAAATGAAGTTATTACTGAAAAAGAATATTATCGGAGATTACTTCTGGTTAAATATCCTGATTTATCAACAAATGTTTTGAAGCGTCTTGTTAATATTTATAAAGAAAATAACAATAAGAGAAAAAGAAGACAGTGCGATCTCGAACTGAGAAAAAGAAGACAGCATGATCTCGAAGTGAGAAAATTTTATTCTAAACTCCATACTTCAAGCAAGTATGAAAAAATTAAACAATCCGAAATTTATCATAGAGTTAAGTATATTCATAAAGAATATTTAAAAGATTGGTATAATAAATATAAGAATGAATATAAATTATTTTTAAAAAAGGCTGAAGCCAACAACTTGAAGTTTTTACATGTTTAGTTGATGTATTGTTAAGAAATTTTGTTTTTTCAAAAATTAATTTATTGTTTATATATGATAATATTTTTAAATGTATTATTATATTAGATTTGATTTAGTAATTTTATTATTTTGTTTTCTTATGTTAATATCTGAAAAATTTTATTTTAGTTTTGATAGGTTATTAGATTTGAAAAGTAAAATTGTTATATAAGATGGTATGGTACAAATCACAATTAAAATATCAAACTAATAAAAATTAATAATTATCATAATATAAATAAGGAATCTTTAAAATTTTCTCAATAAGACAAAAATGTTTCAAATTTTAATAATTTTAGTTATTATTTTATTTTTATATAAATTCTATAATATTTTTTCATTATATCTTTTTTATAAGAAACAAGGAATTGAAGTTTTGGTATTTGACGATGTGAAAAAACATATATGTAAAGATCATGATTTTATTGCAGTTTTATTAGGATTATCAATTCAACTTTACGGGATGAATAAAAAATCTTGTGGAATAATAAATGAACAACATAGAATTAATATAGAAAGAACAAGTTTTGCACCATTTATTTTATTTGGATTTAATTCTATTTCTTTTACAACATCATCTGATCTATGTTTTAAATCACATAAAAGAATATTAATATCTTCGATTAAAAATAATATCGAAAGATTATATCAAGTTTCTCATCAAGAAGTTATTAGTTTAATTAAAAAATATAAATTAAAATCAAATTTAAATATATTGGAAATACTAAATGAATATGTTGAGAATATTACTAGTGAATTTATGTGGGGTCATAGTATTATATCAAAATATTATATTGATTTTTTAGATAAAGATTATAAATTAAAAAGCTTATCTATTATACAGGCTTTAAATCAGGCATTTCATGATGTTTATATATATAAATATAGTAATTTATTATATGTACCAATAACAAAAGAATCATGACGAATTTTAAATAATATTACACAAATTCTTAAAAGTTTTAAAGAAATGACACGAGATTTGATTGATAATTTTTCTGGAAAAAGTTTAATTAAAGATATGGTTGATAAGAATTTTCAATTGGGAGAAAAATTATATGATGATATTATTATAACAACATCATCAGGATTAAATATAGTTAAATTAATGATTATGTCAATTATTTGGCATTTATATAAAGAAAATAATAGGAAATAGCGTAACATACTTTATGATGAAGTTAAAATTTTAAATGAAGTTGGTTTTGATTATACAAAATTAGCAAGTCTTTCAAATTTTAATGTGTTTATATCTGAGGTGATACGGTATGATTTATTGTTTTTATTTTTAAATAATTACACAATTAAAGATTTTGAAATGGTTATTGGTGAAAAGGTTACAAATTTAAAAAAGGAACTTATATGACATCAAATATTTATGCGATTCATCATGAAAAAGATTCTTTGTCAAAATTCGATCCTTCTAGATTTTTAAATAAGAATGATGATTTATGTTTTATATTTTTTGGTAACGGTGGGCGTAGTTGTCCAGGAAAATCAATTGGTTTACTCTGGTAAAAATTTTTGTAGCTAATTTTTTAATTAATAATTTAGAATACGAGATTTTAACAAAAGATAAAAATAAACCAAATTTTGGATTACGAAGTACTTTTAGCTTTGATATTTATTCTAAAATTGAATAATTTATATTTATTATTAATCTTATTATAATTATTTATACAATTTAAATATTTTAAATTTTTTTAAACCAATTATTACAATCTAAACATAAATCTAATGTATGTTCTTCAAATCTAATATTATTAAACACAAATGAATATTTATTACAATCTTTTAAACATTTATCATTAAAACATTTAAAATTATCAGGATTTAAATGTTTAATAAAACGATCAACAAAAGTAAATTTTTTACATTTTATGCATGTTTGTTTTAACCAAGAATTGGTAATTTTTTCTGAATTCACAAGATAAAAAATTCCTTTAAATATATTTTTTTGATATTCTGATAGTTTTATATAATATGTCCCATCTTCAAATTTATCTTCATTTTTTTTAATTTTTTTAATATTCCTTAAATTGTAATACAGGCAAATTTGCCTGCGAAGATTTTTACTAATTTTTTTAATATTTAAATTTTTTAAT